TCCATGTTTGACCCACTTGGATTAGTAGCACCTCATCTACTTCCGGCAAGGAGATTATTTCAAGAGACATGCAGGAAAGGGTTACAATGAGATGACTCATTAAGTGAGAGACACAGTGAGGAGTGGAAAAGGTGGGTTAACAATTTAAGAACGCTGGATCTATGTTCCGTCTCACGTCCACCTAAGCCATCGAAAAGTCATGATATAATTGACTTCCATGTTTTTTCTGATGCCTCTGAGGTTGGATTTGGAGCAGCCGTCTACATCAGAACTATCTTAAGGGGTGATACAGATGTTCGCCTTGTGATGGGTAAATCTAGAGTGGCACCTCTAAAGGCGGTTTTAATTCCGAGATTGGAACTTACTGCAGCCTTGCTAGCTGCGCAGTTTTTCACAACGGTGTGTAGGGAGTTAGGTTATCCCAGGTATCCTGTAACGTTTTGGACTGATTCGATGCCTGTGTTATATTGTATACGCAATGAGTCAGCAAGATATGCATGTTTTGTAGCTAACAGAGTATCTCAAATTCATGAATTAGCAGCCGTTGAGCAGTGGAGGTAGTACGCTGATCTAGCATCGCGAGGAGTTATTGATATGGATGTGGTTAAAAATAAGTGGTGGAAGGGTCCGGAGTTCTTGCTGTGAGCTGATAGTATGTGGCCTAATAGAGAAGATGAACCACCGATAAGGGAGTGTGTCTTAGAGTTGAAGACAAATGTCAGGTTAACATCTACTCAAGAAAGACAATCGGGTTTACACCCACTTTTTAAATATTATTCTTCTTGGTACAAATTACTGATGGCCGTTGCGTGGTTGACACCATATGTTACGTATTCAAAGGTCATGCATCTTGCAGGATACGATAATATAAATGTGGCGCTTTTGAGAGTCGAAGACATTAGAAATGCAGAGTTAGCGATTTCAAGGGGTGCTCAGTGGGAAGCGTGGGGTGAGATAGCCAAGGAGGATAGTCCTGATTTCGCATATTTCAGGGTGCGGTTAGACAGATTATCTCCGACAGTTTCCGAAGGGATTGCTAGAGTTGGTGGACGTCTACAAATGTTAGGATTGTCATATGAGACCCATCACCCAGCCTTATTACCTTGCTACCATCCAGTCACTGATCTCATTATAAGACACCACCATGTTCTTGACGGTCATTTGGGTTCTTCACAAGTACTATCAAGCATTTGATGCAAGTTTTGGATAGTGAAAGGAGGTACTACTCTCTGTAAAATAATTGATAAGTGCATGGAATGTGAACTAAGGAATGCTCGTTCAGTACAGCAGATGATGGCACCACTCCCAGTGCGGCGAGTTTCTGAAGGGAATTATCCATTCAAGTATGTCGGAGTGGATTTGTTCAGACCTTTTGTAGTGAAGAGAGGCAGAACTCTATGCAAAAGATATGGCTGTTTATTCACCTGTTTGAAAATGAGAGCTGTGCATTTTGACATGGTTCATACGTTAACTACTGATTCATTCGTTCTGGCGTTACGTAGATTTATAAATCGCCGAGGTACACCTAAGATGATGTTCAGTGACAGGGGACTAATTTTGTTGGCTGTCTCGCCGAGCTTGAAGACTATTTCGAAGGTCCTCAGACGAGAGTTCATGAAGAGTTATTGAAAAGAAACATTGAGTGGCACTTCAACCCACCACATACCAGCCACATAGATGGGCTATGGGAAAGACTTATAGGAATTAATAGGCCTATTTTAAGCTCCATAATTAAAAAGCAAAGTTCGAATGACGAAACGTTGGAGACATTTTTATGTGAAGCTGAACGAATACCAAATGACCGGCCTCTATTACCTGTGAGGGACGACGACAAGGATTTCGATGTGTTGACTCCAAATGAATTATTGTTATTGCGAGGTAACCGTGGCATAGGGTACTTGAGTGCGGAACGAATACCTACGATTAAAAAAGATGGAAACAAGCCAGGTCCATGAAAGATATATTTTGGAAAAGATGGTTAAAAGAGCATGTCCTAAGACTGCAAACAAGAGACAAGTGGAAAAAGTTGTGCAGAAACTTAAAGGTCGGTGATATAGTCTTAGTAGCAGATAAATGTGCCACAGGTAGATGGCCTTTGGGAGTGGTTGAAAGGGTACTCTGTAGTGGTGATGGGTTGGTGAGGACGGTTGAGGTGAGAACACGTTGTGACATGTTAGTGAGAAATATTAGGAAACTGTGTCTGCTGGAAGATGCTGAGAGTCGAGAGTCAGAGGATGGACCACTTGACGAGTTTCCTACTTAGAATCGTCAACCTGAGAGGGGTTGCAGGCGTACTGGTGTAAGTCCTGCGATTCTTCAGAGGAATTACATCAAGACATGGTCTGCGAGGTTATGTGTACTGCTTGTATATATGCATGGTGCGTCATATCAACTGGTGTTTTTGGATTCACTGTGTTTACTTGTTGTTTTCGTATTTTGTTGTGAACAAGCGCCCTACGCCTAAAGTGGGGGACCCAGTGGCCAATAGAAATTTGAACTGATTTAGTGGGCATAATCACTCTGTGACAAATTGTTTATAGACATGTGCTATTTGTTTTTAGACAAATAAAACGCTGCTATGTGTTAATGGTTTTTTCCCTTTTAAACGTTGTCTTTAATAACTGAAAGATACAATTGCAGAATTGGAGCATACTTGTAAGGAACTATTTTTCTACTATTGTATTTGATATAGTAAGCGGTCTTATTAACTGGATAGTATGAAAAGCCCACGTGTAATCATAACTGTATATTAAACAAATTATATTACTTTATTACTACTGAATAAATTTGATGGTAAATTAACAACAAGTAGCATAGTCTTATGTTCGCATAAACTAATTGACAAAGCATTGAATACAGTCGTGTCAGTTGAAAGAAAACAACGGTTATTATTTCAGCGAGCTTTTACTAATATCCTTCTATGAAGGATGGCACCCGGTCATGTTAGAGAACAGAAGAGACCGCTGAAAATTTCAGTGTGTGCTATAATTTTGACAAAATGAAATTTATATTTTTTATGCAGAACAAAAAGGAATCCAAAGGTTGTTTAGAAGAAACACTTGACGAATATTGACTTAACGAAATATTCTCATATTGAGTCATAAGAAAAAGAAAAAGACGTAAAAGCCAATGAACATTTTCTTCTCGACGATTCATTTTCATAAGCTGTACAATCGTAATTATGTCTTTAACAAAGAATTCATAAGACCAATCGGATACTGGTAAAATTTGTCCTCGAAAATGTATTACGCAATGTAAGGTGTAATCTAGAAGGGGTGACTAATTAGAAATTAGAAAAGGGGCAGAAATTGGGATGATGCAGTAAGTATGATTGCATGACTGATCAATGTAATTGTACACTTATGTATTCACTTTGTTGGAACAACTTCTTGATTTTCGGACTACATGTAGAGCGTAAATGCAAAAAATTGTATACTACTGATTGATTGAGATGAGTCCTGGTATACTACTCACATCAACCAGTAGTATTTGCTAGACACACGGACCGGTGTTTAGATCACTTTGAGCTGGTCAGAAAATACTACTGTGGTGAGTGGTACTTATAATTGGATATGAGTAGTATATGAGTAAACGAATTCAGAAAAGTAACATTATGTTTTGGGCATTGGAAAAAGCGGTCAAAGGAGAGAACTGTGAGGAGAACATTGCAACACTGTGCAGAATTCAACAAGCTATCGAATGTGGTGATATTCGACCAATTTGCATATGATGTGTAAATAAGGACTTAAAGATAAGGTGTGCCAAATTTGTCTACCTACAATGCGTTTGTCACAATAAACATTACCTTCGAGCCTCATCTGTCTTTTCGTCTTTACACTACTGGTTAATATAAGTGGTACATAGCTACTCACCTCAATCACTCAGCAGTTCATAGTTTTATGTATTTACGCTTGGTTTTTTGATTACCATTTGTGGTATCAAGCAGATCATATATTGTGATGTTTTCAGAGGAAGCTACAGTGAAATCATCACCTCGAGCTATGTAAACTGAGAATCAGTTGCAAAATCAAAATTTGATAAACGTAATGCCAATGAAGTTTTTTGGACAAGTCAAGTGAATTAGAGATATATTAGTTAAATCCCAGTGCATTGTTACTTTGTAGAAGAGATCCTGTTCATCAGTCAGGTCTAGATAAAAACTACAAATTCAACAAATTGGTCATGCACTTACGTCCCTAGTTCAATCGGTTATAACATAAAATAATATCAAAGTTGTTATGACTACTAGAAGTAACAAACACAGTTTCATGGAATTGCTAAAAAACCGAAAATGGCATTTTCACTACATTACACATCATGCCAAATGAAATAGACACCTGCCGCTAATCATATCATACAAAAAATGAGAGATATCATGATTCCAGTCGGCTCTAAGTAAAAGTGAGCTACAAATTAGTCAAATGACAAACTGTATAAATCTTGCATTCGATCAAATGACTGCTGAATCAACACACTACTTTGCACAGAAACGCTGGGCTTTGAAATACACAGAAAAAAGAACAGAAATATGACGAGACAACAATCCATAAACACGGGCATGGAAATATTAATTAAATTTAGGTCCGGTGGATGTGTTCTGGATCTGAAAGATGATAAAGAGTGAATACGTTTGACCTACTGCGAAAAATTCTCATCCATCTTACCTAAACTATTCAGTCACTGCATCTCAGTATTTGTGCATGATCATTACACTCACTCAATATCTTATGAATGACTTGAACTAGTGATTTAATATTTACCATTACACCACACAATACTCAGCATCTTTTGTTGTATAATAGGAGTGAACTTATAAGCTAGTGAATTTGTTAAAATTTTTTATAGATGAAACAACGAATCAGCGAGTGATTCAAAATAGGTAATGTAAAAGGTATTTAGTACTATGCTCATCCAGAAGTATTTTGCTCTGAAAACTAACTAAGAGAAATAAAGGATCGGTAAACACATCATTTCCAAGAACATATTGACAGACTCTGTCAATGGATCTCAGTGCGATTGATCTAATACTGAAGAAATCATCTGAATTTCCGAAGTATTTTAATTTCTCTAAAGGTAAATTTTTCAGGTGGTATATACTTGAATAAATGTCCAGTGTTAGTCTAAAAACGAGGAACACCTTACTGATTGAATTTACACTTTTTTCTCCTTTTTTCTATGATATAGGTTCATTTGGAAACAGTTACAATCTAGCTCATATTGGCACGGGCATACTGTTGGCTATGATTTTTCTTCTTTCCATAGCCTGTTATGTTCATTATCATGAATACAAATGTAGGAAAAATATGCCATTGGATCCTTTAACACAGTTAACTGGTTCAAAACACTCACTAGTATTGAATCAATCTACTCAAAAACTGAATGCACACTGTTCAAACAAGAAACATCAACTGCATAAGCATTACAATTGTCAAACGTCTGGATTACTGTGAGATTTGTTAACTGAGAAAGAAACTGATGTCAGTTCAGTAAAAATGCATCAACATCATCGTCATCATTATCTGCATGCCCAACATCTGTCACATTCGCATCAAGTCTCCTCGCATACTCATCCTCACCGTCATCACCACCATCATAATCATAACAGAAAAGTGTTTGAACAGGGTGGACACTCACATTTAGTCAATGCACAACATGATTGTCATGGAGCACATTTTCCGTTGGATAATCAACATGATCATTGTCGTACAAACAGAATGAGTAGTAAATTGCAACAAAGGACTCCATCACATTCAGGATCACTAGTCAGAAATGGTGGACGTACGGTGGTACGAGATTCTTTACATAGTAGTGCTGCTAACAATCCAGGTGGATTACTTGTTGTGGGAACTGGGACGAATCTATCAACCAGTATGGATGGAGGTTTACTTATCAGAGAAAGAATGCCAAAAATATCGATAGTTTGATTTCCGTAAAAGGTGGAAATAAGCAGCTGTAAATAGATTTCCAATGCGTCTTCGTTATTATTTTAAGTTTTTACCTATTACATACAATTTTGATGTAGTCAGATAGTGATATTATTTATTGTTACTATTAGTTCTAGGTATGAGAAGCAAATGTCCTTACAAACACTATACTATACTGATGCCTAATCATTCCAATTTTTGTGCGTGCTGTACACTATTCACTAAACAAACGGAGCTAACGGAAATTCAAGATCAAAAAAATGTATGATAACCTCTGTCTTCAATTTCTTTTTCACTCGTCCGTCGTCTTTGTAAGTGATATTCAGATAAGTCTGTTTTCTCCAGCAGTTTGAAATTACCTATTCAAATTTTAAATGCACATTTTACATTCCCAGCGTTCTTTTTGTTGCATTTTCAATCAGTTCAAATTGCATTATATATATAAATATATATAAACATGTGAGCAACTTCCTGCTTATATTCATTCTTTAACTGTCTGTAAATAATTCAGTGAACTGTATTCACAAAATATTTGTAAACTAAATATTGCTTTGTATAAAAGCGGGAAATACACGTGATGTTTTCTCTTCCCCTTTCCTAACACCGTCACTCTTACTTGTTGTTTTCTTACTTCCGAACTCAAACTACTAGAGACTACGTTATTCTAAGGAATCCGGTGTTGGAGAAATTTTTTAACGTAGAAATCGCTTATTTCTAAGCATGGTGTGTTTTGTGTAATCTGATAAGTAATTAAATAAGAAATGTAAGTTTTTAAAGTTCTGTGTCAGTTGACAGCGGTCTCATCCAACAGTAAACTAGCATATCTAACATAATATCAGCTAGGTAACTGTATAATCCGTGTAAACCAAATATGATTGCAGAGCAAATATATAAGATAAACTAAAAAAATTCTGTGTTATTGTATTCTCTAAATTGGATGGTTTATCTGCTAGGCTTTCATAGTCTTTTAAGACAACACATAACACACCCATCTCATTTACACCTCCTCTCTGGAAATTTAGACAGAAGAAAAAAGGAGAATAGAAAGGCTGCACGATTTGATTTATATAAACAGATTTAAATTGTCAGTATCCAACAGCTTGGCTAGTAATTTGTTAGTTTGTTTTCATCTCGAAAATCGTCCGTTCCTCGCTATGATTTCATAGTTGTTATTATTGAGTGCTAACTAAACAGGAGTCGCCTAGCTTGTATCTTTGATTTCAAGGTTGCTTCCCTTATAAACAGTTAGTTAGAAAGCCGTTAAAAAGCCAAGAGCGCTAATGAGCTACTTAGTTTTGTTTTGAAACAATGTATTAGTTCATATCTACAACGTTACCATAGATTGATTTCCGAACAATTTACTATCTACCCCATGTGAAGTAATCCAGCTCTAGACGATTTGAATTTCCTCTAAATGGTTACGTAATGGCAGGCGGATTGTAGTCTGAACAGCTTGCAGTAAGATTTTATTCCTCACGTGGTCACAGTTAATTCATTTACTCTTCACTGTTATGCTTTTCTTCCTGTTGAACTTTATACCTTGTTTAATATGTCGTTAACCTACAACACTTTCAGAAAAAGAATAAACACAAACGCCAGTGGTTTCCGGTAATTTCTTTAGGATGTAAAGCTATAATAGTCAGTAAAAGCAAATGGAAATCATATCAGAAACTGTGCTAAGGTGTAAGTGCAATATGGAATTAAAGTTAGTCGGTTTTGATTATCATTTGAATATATAAACTATACAGTCGGTAAGATCATAAGATAAAATGAGATTAAACAACTGAGTGATGTGTTTACATATTCATAATCAATTATACTATGGGTTGCAATGAGTGAGTAGTATTTAATGTGTGAGAAGAAATATAAGTATCACAAAAAAGGAATATTCTGAATGTAAGTTCGACAGATGGAGGATAACAACAGTAACGGTAAAATAAAGTAGTCATAATGTTACGTCTAATACTGTCCCTCCCAATATTCAAGTTGCACTTCATATACCACTTTACACTTTTGGGTAAATTAGGTTTCATTTTGAACTGTTGTACATTTTTTGTTTGACTGGACACTTTTGGTGACTGAGAGCCGTTTTGTGTTCAACCATTGTGGTCTTGATATTTGAATGCGGGATAACCTCATAATTGAAGCTTGTACTTTAATTAGTTGCTACATTTTGTCAAATAGATCTGGATTCTGGATTGAAGATTGCTATTTGGTATCCTCTTTGAGAATTATTCATGCACTGGCGGAGACACATATACTGTTATTTTTTCAAACTTGAACGAGGAAACACATGAAGAGATATGCCAGACAATTGTACCAATGATCAAACAGAAAAAACAACACACACAACTCAACTTTCAAGAAATAAAGGCCCTCAAAAAGCTGAAAAATAGGAAGGACATCGTCATTATACCAACCGACAAAGGAAGAACAACAGTAGTCATGGACAGAGAAGAATACACCAAGAAAGCTGAAGAACTACTCAAAGACGAGGATGTATATCAACAACTCCCAAGAAATCCTATATAAACATTGAACAACCGCATCCAAAGGACCTTAAACAAGCTCACCGAAAAATGGACAGATCACAAAACAAGACCAATGGCGAATGAAATCCAGTGGACCAGTCCTACCCCGATTCTACGGCAGACCCAAAATACACAAGCCAAATATCCCATTACGACCAATTGTATCACTCCCAGGAACTCCAACATATAACTGATCCAAAGAATTATACACAAAATTGAAACACCTAACGGAATCTTGTGATCACTGCATCAACTCTGCTATCCAATTCCTAGAGAAAAATCAGAGGCATCGAAATAGATGAACAAGAAATAATGATATCCTTCGATGTCACAGCATTATATACCTCAATCGGACAAAAACTAGCAAAAGAGACCATGGAGCGATTACTCAGCAACGACGAACACCTCCCACAACAATCAAAAATGCTACACAAGCTGGATGGAATGCATAAACCTACGCCTAACAACGTACTTCCAATTCAACGGTGCAATGTATTCTAGCGGTAAATAATTCCCCAAAATTATTAACCACAGCAATCATCACTCAACATTGGATGCTGACCATCACTGTTTAAGTCGACTTGTTTAGCTGAAGGCTTCCGGTCAAGCCTCCCCGCCATTTGGTACTCCGTCGTGTCACGTGCGTGCACGATTCCTAGCTAGCTAAGCATTCACCTCCACCCGCGATTTGGTCCCGAAATATACTACGTACTTTGGACGACAAAATCTGGTCTTTTGCTTTACCATTTGGTACTCGAAGAGCGAACACTATAGAAGTTGTTGGTATAAGATCTTGCGTTAGTATAGTCCGTACAACTCGCGAACGTCGATACCTGCAACCTCTAAACTGGTGAGCCCGACCACGAACTACATCTTCAATTCACACGCAGATAAACCCGGTGAGTTCGTTCCTTTTTGTGTTTATTCTTGTACTATATTGTTATCGGCATACTTTTCGTCATGAGTGATCCTAGCCCCAAGGTTATTCGCGTACGCTCAACCGTCAAAACAATCCAGCTAGTACCATATTGGCCAGATAATGCTGAAACGTGGTTTCAGATTGCTGAGTCCGATTTTTGTGAACATGGCATAACCGATCAACGTCCACAGTTCCTTGCAGTTATTCACGCCCTACCGCGGGAATTCATCAGGTGCGTAACTCTGCAGATGTCGGGTCCAGAGGTAAGTAACTCGTACGAGTTGCTCAAAGCATCCCTCCTCAAGAGAAACGTTCTCACGGATCGACAACGTCTGGATGAGTTATTTCGTAACATCGAGTTAGGGGATCAGTCAGCCGTGAGCATGCTGGCAAGAATGAAAGAGATCATTGGCCAAAGTCAGTTCGATGACGGACTGTTCAGAGAACTATTTTTATCCAAACTGCCACAGTCAGTTCAGACTGTACTTGTGACACTTCAGGGTGTTCTCATGGATGACTTAGCTGTCTCTGCAGATAGAATTCTAGAGATAACGAAACGGCCAGTTATCGAAGTATACTCAGTTACCGAACAGACTTCGAAGAAGGATTCTGCAATGATAGAGTTATGCAAATCCGTCCAGCAGATGCTTAGGTCAAACAAGCCTAGCAATTCCTCATATCGTCGTTCTAAATCCCCTCAACGGCAAAGCGCACGTGGACGATCTTAGTCCAACACACGTTCTCTCGAAAATCCCGACTGGTGTTGGTATCACAACACCTATGGCAAGGAAGCGAAATGTTGTCGAAAACCTTGTGATTTCGGCAAAGCCTCCAAGTCTGTGGGAAACTATCCCGCCGGCACGCGTTAGCGGCAACCGTCGCCGGTGGCACTAGCCGTTTACTTTACATCCATGATGTAATGAGCCAGACCAGATATCTAGTCGACACAGGCGCCGAAGTCAGCGTCCTTCCTGCTACAGCAGCAGATCGACAGAAGGATCCTAACTTCAACCTACAGGCTGCAAATGGAAAACCAATTGCAACCTATGGTCGGAAATACGTCTATCTGAACGTAGGTTTACGCAAACCTATTCAGTGGATTTTCCTAATCGCTGACGTCACAATGCCCATCATTGGCACGGACCTACTTAATCATCATGATTTGCTCGTAGACGTCCGCCGTAAACGACTAATTGACAACACTACTAGTTTGTCTATCAAAGGCATAACTTACGTAGGCCCCAGCTTGTCAATCGTTAAGATGAAAGCAATCCTCGATCCAACTTTCCAACCGATTGTTGACAAATATCCGGAACTGAATTGCCCATCTAACGATCTCCCGTGTATAACCAGCAATGTTATGCACCACATCATAACCTCAGGGCAGCCCGTGACATCTAAAGCACGACGACTGGCCCCTGACAAACTGAGAACTGCCAGAAATGAATTCGATCATATGCTCACCCTTGGCATCATTCGGCCATCGAATAGTCCATGGGCATCCCCATTGCATATGGTACCGAAAAAGGATAGCAACGATTGGCGACCCA